CAGCAGGACCTCCTGCTCTCTGAAAAACTTTCTCAAACTTGTACTTCCTAAGTTCCCTTTCCCTGGACTTTGTCAAGAATCTTAAATTCAACTTAGACGTCCTTTCCTAATAAGGGGGTGACAGGATATGTCAGCTCCAGAGGAGTCTTTAGATAATTGCCATCCATCCTTAGGAAAAATAACATAGGGTAAGAGTCTTGGGTGCAACGTGAAAGGGCAAAGTTCTGCAGCTCGCTATTCTTTATTTGTTATTCATAGGAAACAATCTGGAAGGAGCCTAAACAATGACTTTTGGTAATAGGAGTATGTGTGTCTTAGCTTCCCTTCTCAATAGTTTCATGACTTTTTGTCCAATGAATATACTTTTATTTCAAATTAAAATCGAAAGTCCCATGTTGCCAGAAAGCTTTCCCCGCCACTTAAGCCAGCTTTCCCTTTTTGTTCCTGTTATTTTTTTTAAGTCTTAGGAGCCAACAAGAAGCTTATGATGCCCCCTAATTGTGTGCAGTTGCATATGTCTATTTATTTTATCATGTTTTATTCCTCATTTATCCAAGTAGATCATGAGAATCCAAGAAACAGAGGAAGCACTGTCCATCTGGCTTCCTCCACTGCTCTTGGCAGATCCAGATGACCACAATTTAATGAGCACCTGCTGTCTTCATTACTGTCCTCCTCCCCCATATCCTTGCAGGGGGTGGTAAAATCTGAACTCCAAGATGATGAAACTGAGTCTTGGCGGAGTTAGGCCCTTGAACTAACTCAAATCAGAATTGGGCTGCCAAGGAAGAGTTATTCTTGGGCTACTGCTGCCCCCATACTTGCAGCCTCCAGCCCAAAGAAGGTAGCTCACAGGCATCTGGCATTTGTCCTCTCTGGGGAATGGTCCTTGCTGTCCATGCATTTGGTCCCATCACTTTTCTGCTACATTCATATTATTTAACTGCTTGAGGCTGAGTATCTTTTCGTTTTGTTCTGGTTTTTGAGGCAGGGTCTCACTATGTAGCCCAGGTTGACCTTGAACTCACAGCAGTCCTCTTGCCTCTGCCTCCCAAGTGCTGGGCTTACAGGTGTGCACCACCAAGCCCAGTAGGTCTGTGTATCTTAAGAGGTCAATCTCACATCTGATTGAAGGCAGCTTTCTCCCTATTCATCATTCATTCTTTTGCTCATCTCTTCTTACTTTCCACGGATATTGTTGAGACCTTTCCCATATCCAACATTCCGCCAGATATGGGAATATAGTAATGAACAAAAAGATATATTTACTGCTTTCATAGAGATTAAAGTCAAACAAACATGCAGGAAACAAACAATTGTTTTTAAATCAGAAGGAAAAGAAGAGTTACAAATTTCTATAAGTGAAAAGGTTATTTGTTTGTTTGTTTGTTTGTTTATTTATATAGTGCTGGAGGTTGGACCCAGGACCTCACACATTCTAAGCAAGCACTATATCACTGAGCTACATCCCAAGCCCTTAACAAACTTTTTTGAGTCAAGGTCCAGCTAAATTACTTAGGCTGGCCTTAAACCTATGATCCTCCTGCTTCAGCCTCCTGAGTAGCTGGGATTACAGGTATGCACCACTGTGCCTGGCTGAGTGTGAAGTTTTCAGAGAGAATCATAGGCAGAATGTGGACCTTTAGAAAATTTCCTGCTGGAATCTCTGGGGGGATGTTGGAAGGTGGTGATGATGCTTCCCTTTATTGTGGTGTGCTACCTGGAGCAGGTGACCTTGACCTAGAGCTATTTCAGGTTGGCCTAATGTACTCACCTGAGTCTGTAAAAGCTGGAATCTGGTTGGTGGCAGAAGAGAGCAGAAGACAAGGAAAGCCACTCTCTTCAGACCTGGGAGAGACAGAGAGCCAAGGGCTTCCTGGAGCCCCAGTGGGAGGGGGTAGCTTCTGGAAGCTGAAAGCAGACCCTGGCCCGCAGGTGGGCTGTGGCTTCCACCGTGGCAAGGACTGAACCAGGGCTGCCAATAGCCGGAAGAAGTCTGGCCACCACTTCCTCCTCAGGACTTCAGAAGGGAATGCAGCCTGCTGTCACCTGACTCCGGCCTTGGGGACACCTGAGCAGGACACCCAGGACAGATATGGACAGTTTCCAGTTCCCACTGAGCAATGCCTACTGTGAAGGGCTTCTGCTAAACTTACCTTTGACGCTAATTACCACAGTGCTAGTATGAGTGATAGAAATGAGGAAAAAATTGAGTCCTAGGGGACATTTTCTTACGCTCTGTGAAATGCATATCCACATATTTGGGAGTATGATGATATATATGTGGGTTTCTGATTTCTGTTGAATTCATCTCAGATATTTGAACGTTTTGTCATCCTGGCAGAAAAAGAGTCCAGAAGGGGAAGGGAGTTAGACAAGAGTGTTCTGGAATTGGCTTTCCAGACCCTTCCTGATGCCTTCAGTCTCAGGGCTTCTCAGGGCAGAGATGGGCACAAGGTGGGTATCTCGGAGAGCTGCAGAGCACTGTATGTTCAAGGTGAAGACATTCGGTCCAGGGAGTTCATACAGGGAGCAGGGCCCGGAGGCAGTGCTGGCGGGTACCATAGTCCTGCCTGTCCTGGAGCTCTCAGGGTGAGGGGACGTGGGGGAGCTTGCCCACCACACAGGCACAATGGGGGGCTCTAGCCAGGCCAGGTCTTCATCCTAGTTCCCTAGCCAGCAGCAGCACAAGATATGCAGGTAGGGCAACATCACCCTGTGCCCCGCAAACAAGCAAAATTATTATGAGTTAATTAACAATAATAAAAAATTCCCTTTTTTATTAGTATAGGTCGTGATACATAATAAATACATTCATGGTGGGCAAGTGGTGGATACGTATATGACGTCATGATCCATTTCACTTCCCTTTCCCTCCTCTCTTCTCCATCTCCCCCATTCCCAGAACTCCTTCCCTCTCCACAAAGTCTATTTTCATTTTGCTCCTAAATGATGTATGCTTTGGGTTTCTCGACAACAGTTCACAGGAGAAGGGAAGGAGGTGCAACCTTCAGAGGGATGGGGAGGCCGCACGCCCTGCCCTGCTGCCCACGGGATGCACTGCTCTGCCCGTCGGCCTGGGGCTGTGATGTGTGGGAGATGCTAGGCCAGGACAGGAGGGCAGTGCAGGGCCTGGGTGGTGGGGTGGGGCAGGGATGGTCCCACCCCCACAGCAGGGCCCTGGTTTGATCCCAAGGGTGCTCAGAGGGGGAGGCTGGTCTGGGACGGGCTGGGGCTGCCCCATTGTGCCAAGCTTGTCTTCACAGTGGGACCCTTGTCCCTTTTCTGGGAGGCTGGTCACTGCCACCACCTCACCTCTCCTGTTATTCACAAGCAGAGAGGTGATGTATTTTTCCTCCAGGCAATGATTGTCTCCAGGTGTGATTTAGATCCTAGCTAGCTTCCCATCTCCAGGATCTGATATCAGTAGGTGCTCAATCAATGCTGAATTAAATTAAAAAACATTAACCTGTGGTTATCTGCGGCAGGAACCTCAAATTCCTTTCTCTTTAGAGACCTCGTTTCACCTGTGGCTACAAGGATAGACTAGTAAGAGCCCAAGACACCTCTGTCTGTCTGTCTCTCTCTGTGAAGTTCCAGACCTCATGTTCTCTGACCTGTGACCAGGTCACCTCCCTGCCTTCATCACACCCCAGCCCCACTGGCCGTACCTTGTCCCTGTCTCTCCAGGGCTCCTCAGGGACCCTGGGGTCTGCAGGAACCTGTCCACACTCCTCTGCAGGTCTCCAGCCCCATCACAGCTCCTCCAAGCCCCAGCCTTCCATCTGCCCAGAGCCCAGCCCCCAGGGAGCTCCTGGTCGTCCTTTGTCTTACAGACTAGACCCTTGGGCTCCTGCAGGGCACGCTGGGACTTCCTGTTAAGGGACTGAGCCCTGTGCCCTCCTCACGCAGGAGTGGTCCCTGTCTGTCCCTCTCCACGTGCATCTGCCTGCTTTCACCTCAGTCCACCATTCCCAGGACAGGGCTGGTGCAGTCTTGAGCCCTCTGCTGTGCCCGGCGGGCCTCAACTGTGTGACTGCCCCGGTGAGCATCTGCAGACACGTGAGGCAGGAACCCCACAGGACGGCTGGCAGATGAAGCACCAGGGCAGCAGGGCCTGGTTGTTGAGAGTCCCTGGGTCACAGAGTAGCCCCATTCTGTTTATTAACAGTTGCTACCCAGCAGACGCCAAATAAAGACACCTTTAGGAGACAGACAGCCAGTGGGGGTGGGGAGTTCATATTAAGCCATGTTCTCATCTGGTTCAAAATACCCTGCCTGGCCCATTTTTAGAGATGGGGCTCAGAAAGGGAAAAAAAAGTAAAAGGCCAGGGAGGCGGAGCACTTGGCCCTGCTCTGCCTACGGAGCCCACGGGTGAGGCAAGTGTCCCCCTCAAGTCACCCCGGGCCCCTCCCTGCTGGTCTGGTGCCAAAGCCTCTCTCTGAGCCCGCACTGCACTGTCCTCACCTTGCCCATACATAGGATAAGGTCCCAATCCACACCTCCCCATCCGGGCTTGGATGCAGGGCTGCAGGGCTGCAGGGGTGCGGGTCACCTGCGGCAGCTGCTCTGACAGGTGAGACTGTGTGGGACAAGGAACAGAGCACATCCCCTCTCCATCCTCTCTGGGGCCCCAAACTTTCCGAACTTGGCGGCAGCAGCTGCCTCCATCTTCTGGGGGGGATTTCAAAAGGGGACCGGAATATCCGGGCTAGTCTATAATTGGACAGAGTTGCTTGGTTTTCCTGGGCTCCGCTCGGCAGCCTCTTTGTAGCTTGGAATCCAAAACTATCCCGCCCCCACCTGGTACCCCACCTCCTCCCCCCACCCCCCAAAGCATCTCGGGCCTCTGCTTAGGCCAGGAGCTCCGGATCCCGCGCTCAGGCACCCCCATCCTTCCCTGGGACCGAGGCCCCGCCCCGTCCCACTCGGCCGCCCCGCCCCCCGCGCTCTTAGCTGGGGAATCCCAGCGCTGCGCCGCTTTGCCCCTGGGGAGGCTCAGGGCAGCTTTGTTCTTGGCTGCAGCCTGGCCGGCTGGGGCTGCTCACTTCTCCCCACGGAAGTATCTTCTCCCTTCCCTGTTTTTCTGCTTCTCACACACTTTCTATTCCATTCTGTGAGTTTCCAGCCTTACCTTCTGGCTGTAGATATTTAGTTATTTCTTTTAAATCTCTCTCTCTCACTCTCTCCCCACCCCCGCACCCTGGCCTGGGAAAAGACTTATATTTTATTAAGTCCTGTTCAGAGACCGAAAGTGCTAGAATCTGGGGGAAGGGCAGGTGGGTTGCTGACTGGTGGCCCCCAAGAGGAGTCTGAGGCTGGCATCTTCTCTGGACCCTGCTTGCAGCGGCTCTGGGCCCAGAACCGGAGCTCAGCTGGCACTCCTGAGCGCCTTCCTGCCAGGTAAGGCCTGAGTCCCCTGCTCCATTGCACAGGCTTCTGGAGCCTACTTCCTCCTTCCCCAGACCACACAGGACAGGGGTAGGTGAGAGCTAGGGAGCGGTTCAGTTTCCTGCCGAAGCCCTTTCGGGGTGACCCAGGTCTGGCACACTGCTTCTGTGCTCTGCCTGGGCCTCACGGGGTCAGGAGCGAACCCAGGAACACACCGGCTTGATTCTCCTTGAGCAGAGTGGCGTCAGTGCCAGAGCCTGCCTGGGGTGACTGCTCTGAAAGTTGTTGAGACGCACCTGCCTCTCTCACCTTTCCTGTAAGAAAGTTGAGTGGAATGGGAGAGAAAAGTGGGGAGGTGGGAAGAATGGCCTGCTGCTGGCTTTGCACTGACTGCCTCAGGAGTTTGCTTTCTTGATCTGCATTTAGGTCTCTTTCTTAATTGAGCATTTTTGCCCCTCTCCCAATTCCTCTAGTCCAGGAGGTGTTTTGTCTTTTATTGTTTTTTCTGCATATGATATTCCAGAGCAGACCAGAGTTTCTCATCCCAGTGGATGGAACATAACTTAAATTCGACGTGCTGTTGGACAGGGTGCTTTCACATCTCCCCGGTAAGGATGGACTCAGTAATGACAGGCAGACAAGCTTATCAGATGTCCCTGAAAGAGCCCCCACCCCAAAGCCTGTCCTGGGGCTCCCTGCAGGGTCCCCTGCTCAGACCCTCATTGCATCCCACGACACCTAGGGCTGGTACTTCTTGTGGACACAGGTCCATTCTACTCTCCCACCTGTCTGTCTCTTGTTGACCATTTATGCCTGGCAAAATCTTAGACACTGAAGATCACATCTTCAGACCCCCTGTAGCTTAGTTCATAGAGTTATTCCAGAAAGTTCTTTTCCAGGACTTCCATTTCCTTAGGGGATCCGTTTGAGGGGTGCACTGCCCCGGGCATACTATGAGGTGTGGGGGAAGTGTGGGAGGTTGGTTGTCAGTCTCAGTGTCCAGTCCTGGCTTTGGGGCTTTGTCTGGCTGTTCTGAGCCAAATGATTCTACCCAGGGAGTCTCCATGTTCCCATTTGGCAGAGGAAGATGACAGCGTCTCAGATCAGAGCAAGTCACAGGTGGAGTGTCTGGAAGGTGGCAGGCTGCAGTGTGCTTTAGTCTGCTTCTGTCTCACAGCCTGCAGCCCTCTCCTTCCCACACCTTCTTGTTGCTCTGTGACTGGGCAGACAAAAGTCGTTATCAGATACTGTTGGGCTTCTCTTCTTAGGCAAGACGCTGGATGGGATAAAGAGGGTCCAAGGGGGCCACGGACTCTTAAAATGTTTTGAGGGGAAGTGTGTTTGTACCTGTTTTTGTGGAGTTTGTTCAAAGTACCTCTGTCCTGGTCCCACTTGTAAGATAAAGGCAGATGCGGTCAGAGGAGGGAAAGGAGGTGGTCTCGGGAACAGCAGTCATGGCTTGTGTGGAAAAATAAACAGTGCCATAGGGGGATCCTCTGGTGTGGGGAGAATACAGCTAGGCCTGATGCCTGGGAGGGGTTGCCCTAAAGAAGAAGAGGCAACTGACCTGTCTTTTAGTCCCCAAAGATTGAAATTAGGAGCACTAGTTGGGACCTTTCACTGGGTGCTAGATTCTGATTCAGTTCAAAGAGCTGTCCAGAGATGGGAGGGAATGGCCTCATAGGTGGTGAGCCTCCCACCGTGAGTCCCTCAGGCAGGTTGCATGGCCACTTTTCACTGGGTGGGTGGAGAGCTGGTCTGAACCTGAGTGCTTGGCCCAGGTGAGTGTGTAAGGTCATTTCCTAGCTTGAGGGCCCATCACTCCTTCTTTGCTCTGAGTCCCACTCACACGCACACTCTCCTGCCTCTGATCTGCAGTGGTGGTGCTGCTGGCCCTGATGGGGGCAGCTGGCCTGTGCCAATGGGAGCCAGGACTGCGAGTGACATCTGTGTCACTCATGTCTCACTTTGCAAACCAGAATCAGAGAGTCGGAATGCTCCTCTGAGGACAGGTAGGAAAGATGGACAGAGGAGGGAGCAAATACCATTTTTGTGTCAACAAGGACCTTTTCCTTATAGTGGGGAAACTTTCCTTCAGAACAGGACAGGCCTTCAAGAGGGCTGGAATGTGAGAGGGGCTGGCAGGGCAGTCTTAGGGTGGGGGAGTTCCCTGAGGATTGCTTAGCCAATTCCCTGTCCAAGAATTGAAGAAGTAGTGGGCCTGGTGGAACACACTTGTGATCCTAGCACACCTGAGGGTTGAGGCAGGAGGATCCCAAGGTTGAGTTCAGCCTGGGCAACTTACTGACTTAGGGAGGCACTGCCTCAAAATAAAATGTTACTTAAAAAGGGGCTGGGGATGTAGCTTGGTGGAAATGCCTTGAATGCATCCCCAGTGTCACCAAGGGAAAAGAAATGAAGACAACGCCAAATTGCACAGCAAATACAACTGCAAAATCTGGTGAGCTGGGAAAAGTACAGTTCCACCATTCTAAAGATGAGGAAAACAGAAGCCTGTGGAATGGCAGTGACCTGCCTGTTTTGCATGTGGAGACAGAGCGGGGTCTCAGGTCTCATGAAGCCCTGGGACAGATGGGCTGACACTTTGGTCCCTCACCCAGCACTAGGCACTGTGTGTGTGTGTGTGTGTGTGTGTGTGTGTGTGTGTTTGTGTGTGTTGAGGGGTGTCATCTGAGGCCAAGAGGGCAGATTGATATGGGACCCCCCGTGTGTATCTGGGGCCATCTCCCACAGGGCTTGTGGAATCAATGAGCAGATAAAACCACATGAATAAATGAATGATATGGCTTGACCACTCCTCAGCCCTATTATTTAGCAAAACCAGTAACTTGCCTTTTGCTCTTAATGATGCACTTCACATGACTGAGTCTCCGGGAAGAGGATTTCCGGGTCAGAGGGCATGCACACTTTAATGGCTGAGCATTTGTGAAAGGTTAAATGCTGGGGTGACATCATGGCACCAGCAAAGGGAAGACTTGACAGATTCCAGGGTGTGTGTGAGGGCAGTCCACCTATCTGCTGGGGTCCTGAAGATGCCCTGCCAGTAGCCACACAGAGGCCTCTGCTGCAAACCCCATCTGAATTCATTTCTGTCCACCTGGCTTTGTTTCTATGCTCCCAGTTCCCAGGCCCTCGCTCCTTCTGGCTGATCCTGGCTATCTTCTGATAGAGATGAGGATATCTTGTAATTTTTATTTTAAGTTTGGATCTTAATTAAATTTTGAAAAAGTGGTCAGAATGTACCCCGCCTTTTGGTTAGAACTATCTCTAAGGAAGTACAGAAGCAGGTGAGCAGCAGTGGGCCAGGCCTGTCCAGCAGCTACGTGGTGGGGAACACAGTCTACCCACAAGGTCCCAAAGACAAGGGAAAGCAAACCAACCACAACAATAAATCAGAGGAAATTTCATTTTTAAGATGGGTATGTGACTTCACTTACGCCTGTCAACTTCAGTTAGGATGAATAAATTCTTCAAATCTGCAGTACAAAATCATGAGAAGATAACGCAATACTACACTGTATGCTTAACAATCTTAATAGCACAGATCTGATGTTGAAAGTTCCTGCTGCAATTAAATAAAAATGAAAAGAATCAGCAATTTCACTGTGATATAGTTTAGGGTGGCCACACAAGGTTTTGCCAAATTGTCACACCTCTCACAGGCTCTGTTTGTCTGAGGACTCCAGGGTGCATTGGGCACCTTGTGTGGTCCCCTTACCCTGCAGCTCAGTCCCAGCACCTCCCTTCCAGGCATCTGCTCCCTGAAGGATCAGAGAAATCGCTACCTCCTAACACAGCCCCGGAGCAGTGTTGAATATGTGGTTAAAAGTTCTTCCTTTCATCCAAAGAAAAGCTCTTTCCCTGCCACTTTTATCTGTTGGTTCTTATTTAATCTTTTGGACATACTTGGCATTAATTAAATCCACATCTCATGACATATTTTTAGCCTTGTGAAAACAAAAATAATGTGTCTTCCAATCCTGTCTAAGCCTAAACACAGTTGGGATAGACAGCATCCTAGACTTTCTCCCAGGCCTCACACACTCCTGCGCATTAGCTGCGCTGTCTCACTCTATGGAAAGACACAGTGAGGCTTATGCACAGGAAGGCCCCTGGCTGGTAGTCGGCAGAACTGGGATTTGGATTCATAACTTAACACAAGGTCCTAGCTCTTAACATTCCAGACTACATTAAATGTAAATGTATGTAATTCATGTAAATGAATATGAGGTAAATGTGTATAATTTATATAAAGGTAAACATATATAATTCAGATGAAAAGGCAGATGTGGTAGTTGGACATGTTTTCCTTTGCAAAAACTATTCCTTGTTAGAAAGTTGTGAAGTATAAAGCTCTCTAATGAATGAAAGCATCTTGTTACAACTGCAGTAATAGCAAGCTTCCTTAGTAGTATCAGTTTTCCCTCAATTTAAGCAGTAGGAACGTTCTAGCAAATACCTTTATGCAGTGTCCTCTGTTTCCAAACATACATATCAATCGAAGTCCAGCACTTGAAGAATTTGGGAACAATAATAAACAATCACTGAAAACATAGTTAGCTGGCTTTTAGGAGACATTCATAAGTCACTGCTCAGGGAAAGGTTGTATATTGTCATCCTTGGTCTAATGCTTGCTTGAGCTTTCTGGGGACCGATGCTGTGTCCCCTACCACCTCCAGCAGCACAGAGGCAGAAGATGGCAGGGGTGCGATGTCCTCAGACCTCTGAAAAAACATCTAAATATCTTAACCATGATGGGTCCTGGCTTTGAACCCCCCCCCCACACACACCTGCCAAGGCCTCTGTCATCAACTGCTGTAATCACCTGTCAGAGTGTCTGTTTCCCCTCTGATTTCTGCATTTCTTAGCTCTGATCAACCAACATTTGCACAATTTTGGGCACATTAGGGACTCAGCACATCTTTGTTGAAGGAAGCAATTAAAACATGGCTATAGTCAAGTGCTTCTCAAGGATTTGAAATCACTATACA